GGGGTCTATTAAACCCTTAATGTTTCCCTAAAGAGTACCTGTCACCTGTCCAATGCTATCACATAGGGGTTTAATAACCCCTTGTGATAGCAATCAAGTAAAAAAAAAAAAAAAGTTTAAAAAAAATCAAATATATTTAAAGTAGTAAAAAAAAAAAAAATAGATGTAACCCCCGTTGCCCTGCACATTGTGCAAACGCAAGCTCATGGTGTGCATGCGTATGTAAAACGAGGTCGCACCACACGTTTGACATATTGCCGCCAATGTCAGAATGAGAACAATAATTCCAGCACAAGAACTCCTAGTTAACTCCTAAACTGAAAAGCTGTAAAGGCTTTTAAAGCATCACCTATGGTGTTTTTTTGGCACTGTAGTTTTTGGCGGTATCATGGGCGCACACAATTTTAAGACATGGAATGTTTGGTATCTATTTACTCAATGCAACATCATCTTATCATCTTTTATATTCTACCCAAAAAATGGGTATTCTATTGTGTGTTTTTTGCATTAAAATGAATTCTACAATATTTTTTTCCCTGAAAATTTGCATTTATTAAACAGTTGTGCAAATATAATGTGACATAAATATTTGCAACGCTCACCTTTTTTATTTTATAGGGTCTCTACTTTCAGAAAAATATATAATGTTCTGGGGGTTTAAATAATTTTATTGCCAAAAATTTAGATTTTTAAATGTATGTGAAAAATAAAAAAAAATACCCCTGGAGCCAAACTGGTTAAGAAATTAAATTGGAAATGACATTAAGGAAGAGTGACATGAGAAGAGGTAGCTGGTGGTTTTGCAATCTGCTGATTTGGCAAGAACATGAGTGCAGAGAAGTGAAAAACATTACTTCCTTGTCTGGCTTTGTGCTTTTTAGCTTTTTTTTTTTTTTTTTCTTAATTTAATACTTCCTTATTTTTTTTCCCCAGCCCATTTGCCCTTATCACATTAAAGAGTTATTCCACTAGAATTGCTATTTAAGATGCAAGTGGTATCTGCTGGGCTTTTATGTCAATAGCGGGCCCTCCCTGCCATAATTCCTATCTGGGTATCTAGCTCTTCCTTCTTTCATTCTCCAGAACATGTACATTTTAGTGAAGGCAGCACAGCGGCTAAATGGTTAGCACTTCCTCCTGGCAGTACTAGGGTCGTTGGTTCGAATCCCAACCACAGCACCACCTGCCTGGAGTTTGCATGTTCTCCCTGTGCCTGCGTGGGTTTCCTCCGGGTGCTCCGGTTTCCTCTCACACTCCAAAGACATGCTGGTAGGTTAATTGGCTCCTGTCTAAATTGTCCCTAGTATGTGTATGTATGAATGTGAGTTAGGGACCTTAGATTGTACACCCCCTTGAGGGTTAGGGACCTTAGATTGTACGCCCCTTGAGGGTTAGGGACCTTAGATTGTATGCCCCTTGAGGGTTAGGGACCTTAGATTGTACGCCCCTTGAGGGTTAGGGACCTTAGATTGTATGCCCCTTGAGGGTTAGGGACCTTAGATTGTATGCCCCTTGAGGGTTAGGGACCTTAGATTGTACGCCCCTTGAGGGTTAGGGACCTTAGTTTGTATGCCCCTTGAGGGTTAGGGACCTTAGATTGTACGCCCCTTGAGGGTTAGGGACCTTAGATTGTACGCCCCTTGAGGGTTAGGGACCTTAGATTGTATGCCCCTTGAGGGTTAGGGACCTTAGATTGTACGCCCCTTGAGGGTTAGGGACCTTAGATTGTACGCCCCTTGAGGGTTAGGGACCTTAGATTGTACGCCCCTTGAGGGTTAGGGACCTTAGATTGTACGCCCCTTTAGGGTTAGGGACCTTAGATTGTACGCCCCTTGAGGGTTAGGGACCTTAGTTTGTATGCCCCTTGAGGGTTAGGGACCTTAGATTGTACGCCCCTTGAGGGTTAGGGACCTTAGATTGTACGCCCCTTGAGGGTTAGGGACCTTAGATTGTATGCCCCTTGAGGGTTAGGGACCTTAGATTGTACGCCCCTTGAGGGTTAGGGACCTTAGATTGTACGCCCCTTGAGGGTTAGGGACCTTAGATTGTACGCCCCTTGAGGGTTAGGGACCTTAGTTTGTACGCCCCTTGAGGGTTAGGGACCTTAGATTGTACGCCCCTTGAGGGTTAGGGACCTTAGATTGTACACCCCTTGAGGGTTAGGGACCTTAGATTGTACACCCCTTGAGGGTTAGGGACTGATGTGAATGTACAATATATATGTAAAGCGCTGCGTACATTGATGGCGATATATAAGTACCTGAAATAAATAAATACATTTTAAAAAATCCAGCAGGGATGAAAGGAGCCCTCATAATGGGCACAGCAGGGGTGCAGACCTGGGAACTCCATGCAGTAATTTCACTCCCAAAAGACAGGACAGACAGTCAGACTTGCCAGCACAACAAAAACTAAAATGTTTTATTTAATTAGAATACCTCTGTGTAAAAAAAAAAAAATTACTTTGCATTAATTAACAACAGGCCCTGGAAGGGAGATGGAGGAGAAGACAGCTGAATAGAATGCATATACCAGCACACAGCAAAAGCCATCAGAATATTTGGCACAAAGGAAGAGTGCTTCATCCAAAGAAAACAGGCTTTAATGGACAATACTAAGCTGTAATAATATTAATACAGCTGCTATCAAAAGCAAGCAAGATAAAGAACAAAGGCAGATCAGGTTTACTGTGTTCAGTTATTATTAGCACCTAGTGCAGAGGATACATTTCTGAAGCAATGTTTACATATACTTTAAAGCGGTATTAAACCCAAAAGCAAACATTGATTATACTGCGGCTTACCAATTCTTAGATGTGCTGGCTGCATTCAGATTTTTTTTTTTTTTTTTCAGGCTTTCTTTCTTCTAGTTTCATTTGGTGATCAAGCCAGCAAGTCTGTTGTTTTTCACAAGCTCTCCAGCATTCACTATACCTAGTCACCCTGGACCCTGCATTCACTATACCTAGTCTCCCTGGACCCTGCATTCACTATATCTGGTCTCCCCGGACCCTGCATTCACTATATCTGGTCTCCCCGGACCCTGCATTCACTATATCCGGTCTCCCCGGACCCTGCATTCACTATATCCGGTCTCCCCGGACCCTGCATTCACTATATCTGGTCTCCCCGGACCCTGCAGTCACTATATCTGGTCTTCCTGGACCCTGCATTCACTATATCTGGTCTTCCTGGACCCTGCATTTACTATATCCGCTCTCCCCGGACCCTGCATTCACTATATCTGGTCTCCCCAGACCCTGCAGTCACTATATCTGGTCTTCCTGGACCCTGCATTCACTATATCTGGTCTTCCTGGACCCTGCATTTACTATATCCGCTCTCCCCGGACCCTGCATTCACTATATCTGGTCTCCCCAGACCCTGCATTCACTATATCTGGTCTCCCCGGACCCTGCATTCACTATATCTGCTCTCCCCGGACCCTGCATTCACTATATCTGCTCTCCCTGGACCCTGCATTCATTATATCCGGTCTCCCCGGACCCTGCATTCACTATATCCGGTCTCCCCGGACCCTGCATTCACTATACCCGGTCTCTCCGGACCCTGCAATCACTATATCTGGTCTTCCTGGACCCTGCATTCACTATATCCGGTCTCGCTGGACCCTGCATTCACTATATCTGGTCTCCCACAGTACACAGAACATGGAAGTGCAATTATTTTAGTAAATATAAACTGCTAAATAACTTTTCTCATCAGCAGTATAGCAGTCTTGTGACTTCTATCAGGGTCCAGCTGAGCACTGGTTAAAGCTTGTAGGAGGCGTTTTCATTCTTCTCTGACTGTCCTATGAGGCTGCATAACCCCTGACCCTCTGTCTGGACAGTGGTGATTGGCCCTGTGCTGATCACATGTACCCTCCCAGAAAAAAAAAAAAAAACTCTCTAGCAATACACACCAAACTGAGCATGTGAAGCTTTCCCCCCAAGGCTCTGTGGAGACAGTAGAAGGGGAGGATCCGAGAAGACAGGACCAAACAGCCTTTTTACACAATGCAGAGGATTGACCCCTTAGGTTCCACAGTGAGTATAACAAGCATGCATTACTGCATCTACAGACTGATTGTACTGTTGTGGGTTAGTAATGCTTTGACACTAATAGGGAGTGAATAAAATGACAGCTTTTATTTTAGTAATACAAAATCTTTATCCCAAAAGGAAACCAACTGTTTGCTGTACTGATTATCAAATGTGAGCTGGAGTTTGGCTTCAATTTGTTAGTGATTCTAAATCTGCTAATTCCTTTAACACTACCCTACACCTTCCCCCCCCTCCTAGCCTGCCTAGACTGGGAATGCTGCTGTCTGCTGTAGCTCCTCTGCTCCTTCATCCAGAGTTGTCGCACTAATACAGGAGGTGTGTTACTGGCCAGATCACCAGGTACAAAAAAAAAAAAAAACAGAGGAGAAAAAGCCAAAGAAATGAAAATGATTGAACCACCTCTAATGATTGGTAACCTTCAATATAATGCATTTTTGGTTTTGGGTTGAATACACCTGCAAAGTCCAAACTATACCGGCCAGTGATGTCATACAAGATTTTGTATCACTAAATAAAAGCTGATCATATTATTCACCCCTATCAGTGTTAGTGTCACTAAACCCACAACAGTACAATCAGTCTGTAGATGCAGTAAAGCATGCTTGTTATACTCACTGTGGGACCTAAGGGGTTAATCCTATGCATTGTGCAAAAGGCTGTTTGATCCTGTCTTCTCTGATCCTCCCCTTCCACTGTCCCCAATCCATCTCCTAATTAAACAGAGCCTTGGGGGCAAGCTGCACATGCTCAGTTTGGTGTGTATTACTAGAGAGTTTGTTTTTTCTTGGAAGAGTGCATGTCATCAGCACAGGGCCAATCATCACTGTACAGATAGAGGGTCAGGGGTTATGCAGCCCCAAAGGAAAATTGGGGGGAGAATGAAAACTCCTCCTACAAACTTTAACCAGTGCTCTGCTGGACACTGATAGAAGTCACAAGACTGCTCTAACTGCTGATGAGAAAAGGTATTTAGCATTTTTGTATTTACTAAAATAATTGCATTTCCATGTTGTGTGTACTGTGGCAGACCAGATATAGTGAATGCAGGGTCCGGGGAGACCGGATATAGTGAATGCGGGGTCCGGGGAGACCAGACATAGTGAATGCGGGGTCCGGGGACACTGGATATAGTGAATGCGGGGTCCGGGACACCGGATATAGTGAATGCGGGGTCCGGGGACACCGGATATAGTGAATGCGGGGTCCGGGGACACCGGATATAGTGAATGCGGGGTCCGGGGAGACCGGATATAGTGAATGCGGAGTCCGGGGAGACCGGATATAGTGAATGCGGGGTCCGGGGAGACCGGATATAGTGAATGCGGGGTCCGGGGAGACCGGATATAGTGAATGCGGGGTCCGGGGAGACCAGATATAGTGAATGCAGGGTCCGGGGAGACCGGATATAGTGAATGCGGGGTCCGGGGAGACCGGATATAGTGAATGCGGGGTCCGGGGAGACCGGATATAGTGAATGCGGGGTCCGGGGAGACCGGATATAGTGAATGCGGGGTCCGGGGAGACCAGATATAGTGAATGCAGGGTCCGGGGAGACCAGATATAGTGAATGCAGGGTCCGGGTTTAGTAACACTTTTTCAAGTTTATCTAATCCCAAAACCAAAAATGTATTGTATTACTTGTCCTTAGTGTGGTGACTGCATTCATTTTTCTTTTTTTCAAGTTTCTTTTGCTTTATTATAACCTGATAATCCTGCAAAAGTCACATTCCTGTTCCTGGGTGGCTACGTCACTCCACTGTATCTATGGAGGGAGCCATGGTTGATCCCTAAACATATCCGTAGCTCTTAATCTCTATTGCATGGGGGGAGGGCAATTCATAGTTTACAGAAGGTGGCAAGGAAGGAAGATAGATAATCTTCAGTTCAACTCACAGGAAGTGACAAGGACATCACATTTCTGGCAGGATCAACAGGTATTTTCTGAAGAAGTTCTAAGCTTAATAAAAATAAAAAAACTAATGCAGCCACCATATTTATAAACTATAAGCTGCAATATATTGCAGTTTTTTGTTCTTGGATTTGGTTGCCTTTTAAAAAGTAACGTCAGGCATTCCTGCACTGCCATGCTTGCTAGAGCTCATCTTTCATATTCATTCTGAAAATTGCCAGGAGTAAGGGTGCTTCTCATTTGAGGCTATGCCATTATAGGGTTCACACATTTTTCTTCTTCACAACAGCATGCTACAGCTTAGGTGCTCTTATTTGTTTTATATTTGTGATACTAAACACACACCATTTCATTTACATTGTCACTTCTATTTGGATGATGGCACTGTAAATATTTTAATTAAAAAAAAAAAAAAAAAAATCTAAGTACCTTTTTCCTAATCAAGATACAGCTGTCACATGACCCAGCTCTTTCCCAGCCTATCTGCAGGGAAACAGTGGCAGGAGGAGCTTCTAGTCCTCTCCTACTGGTCACGTTTAAAAATAAAAAAATAAAAACCTTTTGGAATACAGCGTAAAAATAAATAAGATCAATTAACAGTTTTAAATATTCATACAAATATATATTTGAAATCAAATATGTATTTTTTGGCAATAACATGGTGTGGGTGGATTCCTGCCAGGCTCAGGCTGTGTCTTGGATTAAAAGGTAGGTGAAGCCTTCATTAACCAAGATGTAATATCTCACCCCTATTGTGTATAGCTGGTTAGTGGGCATGGAAGAGAGAGGGAGTGGGATGTCATTTTATCACTGTGTATACCCCACGTGTGACTCTATAGTCACATGGGCTGCTCAGATGTGATAGGAAGGAAATGCCCAGCATAGAAACTCACTGAAAACTGAGCATGTGCAAAGCTGCCCAGCATAGAAACTCACTGAAAACTGAGCATGTGCAAAGCTGCCCAGCATAGAAACTCACTGAAAACTGAGCATGTGCAAAGCTGCCAACACTGCTCTAGCTGCATTGGGGACATGGACAGAAGGGGAGAGATAGAGAACAGCAGGATCAACCAGGTTTTTTGCAAAGTACAGAAAATGACTCTCATAGTGGCTGAGTATGAATAGCATGTAATACAGCATTTATTGATAGTTTTTTATGATGTAAGTTTAGTGGCTTTTTAAATCACTGCTCTTTCCAATGCCACCCAGCGGGGTCCTCCTTGTTGCTGCTCCTTCACAGCCTTTCCTTTTTTTGTTGGTGGACTACTGCCCTGTGTCCTTATATTTTTTTGGATCCAGGCACGTAATACCAAACTGCAAGCAGAACAGGACAACCATTTGCCCTACTTTTCTAGGGGTCAAATCTATGTGTAGCCAGAGTCTGGCATGTCTTGAGTGGCCACAAAGGCCAGTTGACTAGGAGAAGAAAGATATCTGCCCAAGGGGTGCATAAAATATTCTTGAGGTTCACTCAGATCTGGATTGATATGTACATTTCTTTTGCAGCCTTTTTAAAAGGCAAAGTAAAATTATTCCTATGTGTTTTCTATTGTGTATTAACCTATTTTGGTTATAATTGCCTTTTAAAGCAGAACCAGAAAGCAATAAGCTAGGGGTAGATTTCAACAGCGGCAAATGTGACATTAAAGTATATGTCAACCCTCGCCTTGTAAAACAACCCATTCAGTTTAGAATAGAAATGAAAGGCAAAACGTGTATAGATTAAAAAAATGGGAAAAAAAGGTATTCATAGTTTTTTTTTTTTATAATAAGTGATCACATTCCCTCTGTTCTCAGCTGCATAAGAGGTGAGGGAGGAGAAACAGCAGCTCACTGGTCTTCCCAGCAAATGGCTGTGTAGGGGGTGTGACAGACCAAACCAGGACAAGGACTTTTGGAGGAGATTGCAGGCTTGCCTTTTGCCTACTAAGGGCCCTTGCATCTGAGTGGGCTCTAATCTTTGGGAGGTGTGTGTCTGGGGAACCTTTTGGAGTAGTTTTACTTTGGATTCAAGTTCAGGTCTCCCTGAAGCACACAAACTCTGAGAACTGAAGGACCAGGATACAGATTTTGGGTCTCTGTGCCCAAACCAGCATTGACTGCTTCAACCCCCCTTCAGACTCAGAGCAGATGTTAATATAAACAACTCAAAACAACCTGATGCTGAGGTCTCTTGCTGTAATCTCTTTATTAAGGTGTGATGTGTGTACTGTGTCTTTGTCCTATTGTTAATTGAGTCGCCTATTGTTTCTGTCTGTTGGCTAGTCCTCCTGGAGGTTCCTACATGATGGGATTAGTCTGGTATGAGCTTTACCTCGATATCTAATCAGTGTGGGATGTTTATCCTAATGTGCAATATTTGTTTCTATTGTTCAGGTGGGGACTGCCCCTATTTCTGAAGTGCATAAAAACCTGTATCTATGTTCAATAAAGTAGTGCCTATGCTAGCGTTGCCTAGTCTTGGGTGCGATGCCCAGCTATAATACCTTGGTACTGTGTCCCAGCGGCAAGGAAGCAATTCTTTGACTGAATCACCCAATTGGGGTGACAGATGGTCCATCACAGGGCGGGGTGGGGGGGAAAGATGGTCAGGACTAGTCTTATCATTTGGAGCAGAGCAGGCTGAGTTGTCAGCACAGCTAGAGAACTGACCATGCTGTGCTCTCATACTTAGTGTGGTCAGTTTTTATTAGGAAAGCAGAGGGACTGGCAGGAACACCAGGGATTTCACACAAAGGAAGCAATACAGCAAGCACATACAGTATCAGGAATATAAAATGTTTCAACTAAATTTTCAGTGGAAGTAAATATTCCTTTTGCGTGTTGTTGTGTTTTAAACTAGTGGTAGATTTGCCTGCAATGAATGTGTTGAATCGCATGAACTGCTTTACAATCTGCTCCCTTAGTTTGTAGTTTATACACATCTATAAGCCCTAATGACACCAATGGTGGAGTACTATTCCTCCCAGTGACACCAATGATGAGGGACCATTCCTTCCAATAATACCAATGATGGAGCACTATTCCTCCTCCTACTGACCCCAGGTGCTATGTAATGGTTTTATTCTGACTTACCACCAAGTGTGAGGCTTTTTTTTTTTTTTACTCCCACTGGCCACAGTCTGGCCCCTCCCAAAGTCTAAGATTCTATCCACATATCAGCGTTTTAAATCGCGGGCAGAGTCTCTTCAATTCTGCCCACGATTTCAAATCGCACTGTTGAAGTATGAAATCACTCAGCATGTTTAGGTGCCATTCATTTGAATGCCACCTAAAAAGGGTGGGGCAATATTGCCGCACGGTTTTTCTCTGCTATTGCGTGATTTTGTTTGCGCAATTGCAGCACGTTTGTCGTGTGTGTAATCGCGGCAAGATTGAAACCTGAGCAATTTCACATTTTGCCAGCGTGTTCTGAAATCCTGGCCAGAATTGTGTTGATTCCCCCCGAGATTCAAAACACTGATATGTTTCTAATGGATCGTAAATTGGCCCTTTGTTTGGAAACCTCTGGTCTATAGCGGTGGTGAGTGATGACTGCTGTGACATAGTTAACTATTTTTTTTTATTTATTTTTTTAATTTGTCAATTTTTCAGTCTCTGTCTGGACCATGCCAGTGTATACTGCTCTTCTCCATGGTTACGTCGATTTGCGTGTCTGCTTTTGTTTCATATTATGTTTTTTTTTTTTTTTTTTCCCTATATACTGCAGGAAGTAAAGGAAATTGCTAGGATTTCAGAAACAATCCCACCTTCCTGTCTTGGATCGGGTTTTCCTCTATGTAGAGATCTTGGTTTCAATGAGTTCACCATACCTGGCAGGCAATCCTTTGATTGTGGTTGTTGGAGAAACCCAAACTGTAATGTTGCAAATTATCCCCTGGAGTGTCTGAGATTGATGTATTGACACATTTTTGAGCTCCTGTTTTTTTTGTGCAGCTTAAAAAAAAAAAAATGAACCGCTTCCCAACAGCCCTATAGCAAATATACTGCTACAGGGCAGCACGGGTGTGTGCAAAATCCTGTGTGTGTGTGTGTATATTATTTTTATATATATGTGTGTGTGTGTAATATATATATATATATAGTGTGTGTGTGTGTGTGTATATATATATATATATATATATATATGTGTATGTATATATATGTGTGTATATATATATGTGTGTGTATGTGTATATATATATATATATATATATATATATATATTTATTAGTGTGTGTAATTTTGCATGTCTGGGTAGGGGGCGCACGTTCCCCCTACCCACGCCCCATTCGAGGCCGCGGCTGTCAATCACTGGGTCTCGGCTGGTGATTACTTGCCGGTGCCCGGTGATTGCCGAGCATCTCCGACGGAGGAGAACTGTATGTAAACAATGCAGTTCTCATCCCTGTCAGCTCATGCAAACTGCTGTGCTATGGTAAATCTGCATATACTAAATGGTTGCTTAATAGTGTGTATCTCTATGTAATAGATTAGGAATATGTCTGTTTATATGTTCTCATTATGAATGTCAAGTGGGTTGAATTGTTCATGTAAAAAGGCGGTTTTGTCAATGATACAGGGTAAGTCGGAAGTGACGAAACGCGTCAGGGTCGTGACGTCAGACGCAAAACCGGAAGGAGCAGCGCGGCCATCTTTGTTGCTGGTTTAGCTGCTGGTTATGCT